CCCTGCGCGTCACGGCCGCACCGACAGCCAGCAACACACCGCCCATGGAGCAGGCCGTCCAAAGCCCGGAGGCACCAGCTGATGGCGCAGACGCGCCGAAGTCCGCCTGTGGCTGGACCCGTGCGCGCAGTCGGTTCTGCCCGGCGCTGGGGGCCACGAAGGCCGTGCAGGCCATGAGGGCCGCACCCACGCCCACCAGGGCCACACTCCTCGGCATGGACGACATGGCTGAGGCACACTTCGGCAACGGGCCGGTTCTGAGCTCAATCAACGGATTTATGGAGGTTTTCGCTCCACACATCGCAGCCACTGCAGTACTCTTCAGACCCTGAATCGCCAAACAGATGCATACACGCATGATTCGTCATGAGCCACACAGCATTCAAAACCGAACCCTGGGCCCTGCTTGTCCAAAACGCTTGGACCGCGCACACTCTAAGCCATGAAACATCAACTGCTCGCAAGCTACCACCAAAGATGGAGATGTGTGCAGAAGTACGATCTGAGGAATTCTGTTACATGAGATTAATCTAACTCTAAAAGCAGCCCCATTTGCAAACCGATATCATAACGCAGAGGGATCAGGCAGAGGCTCAATCCGCGAAAATGATAGATGGGCATGCCATCCTCTCCAATGAAAACAACTAGAACAAGCGAGACCACTGGACCACTGCTTTCAAACCTTGAACTCTTGAACTGTGTGTAAACCCTAAACCCGCAACCCGAAACATCACCATAATTACCATTATTATTACTGTTATTACCACTCTTACTATCATTACTTTGACCCCAAACCCTCAACCCTCAGCCCGACTCTGCTTTTGGCTGTATCCCTGGATGGCTCGCGCTTCGAACATTCATTTGAAAAAGCTCACTGGCCATCTGGGCTTGTTGCTGTCGACCTGGCTGGGATTTGGGGAGAATGGTGTCCCTTTAATCATATGATACCAGGATTATACATAGGGTTTAAGGAGAATATCCCGAATTAACGGCGAAGCAAGTTGAAAAGAATATGGAACATGAAATGGAAACTGGCTGGCTGTAGGGGCTTCTATGAGACGAGCGCGGTAGGTAGTAGCGACAACATCGGGAATGACATGGTAGCTTCGGTAAATATGGGAGCCCCCTAAAGGACCCCAGGATATGACAAGCCTTGGTTACAGGGATTACCAGACAGGGTGGGAGGGTGAGCAGGCGAGGGAGGAGAGGCGGGGGGAGGGGAGGGGGCGGGCAAGCCGGGGTGTTGGGGGTGGGAAAACCCCCCCGCGTAGATAAGAATACAGGGCAAGAATTGATGCTGATGATGTTGCGTCGTGCTACTGGTGATGGTACTCATGGTGCTGATCGTACTTCCCACACAAAAAGGATTGGATTTCGAGGACAATGCTTAGAAACAAAAAGGAACACTAAGAACACCCAAAAATCTACTTGAATGAGACCAAGACAAACAATGATGGAAGCCAGCACTTATGCAATGCAATCCTAGACATGATAGTAGCAACGCCGAATCAGACATCGTCATGATGAATTGTGCTTTGAGGCACTCTACAGACTTGTCTGTATATTTCTCCTGCTACGTAAGCATTCCCAAGTCTCCGTATGAGAATATGCACATATTGGGGTTTAGGGTTTAGTGTCATATTGGGGTTGAAAAACTGGTCCCTTTGGCAGAGCTCCTATGATACAGGGTATAATATATTTAGGTCTGTAGTGTGGCCGCCTGTTTATGGAAACCCAATATCCCCTGAGAAGCATTCCCCCTGTTGCACTCCTACCTCCTAAACTACCTGCAGCAAGCCATAAGGGCTGGATTCACACGACCTCTGAAAGTTACCGTGGCCCATCATCATATGGGCTTCTATCCTGCATAAGCTGCCCCGTTCCCTTTGAGTGCCAGTCTGGCTAGGCAGGGAGGCCTAAATGAGCTATACTCTAAATTCCTAGTATCCCCTTTAGTAAACCCTATAATACTCCACTATATAATCCACTATATTACCCCCTTGAAGGAGTTTAGACCATTGCTTATATCTAGAAGGATTTTTCTGAGAAACGCCCGTGTTAGGCATTCCCTCTTAGTCAGCGCAGAGGGTTCCTTCGGAATGCTGGTGAGTGTACTGTGTATGTGGGCCGTTCGGGTTTAGCGTTGGGTTTAGGGTTTGGCGTTGAGGGCTTAGGGTATAATACGAGGGCCTAGTCAATTAGAATAGGGTTTTGGGGTTTATCATATTATGAGGGGGTATAAGGGGATAATGGTGATGTATTGGCAATTTTTTAGGCCTCTACAGTATGTGGGCCATTCAGGGAGACCACAACTGAAAATCCTACCGAAGAAATGTGGTAGGCAGGCAAGACCAGGATGACAGGGACACCAACTAAGCCACAAATTACCCTAGACCATAAACCCTACACCCCCGAACACTAAGCCACACTTACGATAATCCAGCCTCTTGGTCAAGGAAATCTAAAATTGCGTGCAAAAGCCTGAAAAGATCCTTCATATCAAACGTTTCGATCCATTCAGAACGGCCCATGAGCCTGAATTTGCATCCCAGATCCTGCAGAAAGCCGTTTAACCCCCTCAGAATCCGGACGAACACTTATATACTTCTAAAAGTTCCGAGAACCCATCCCAGCCCTTCAGAGAAGACAAAAATGGCACTGGCTAAATTGCTAATACTTATATTAGACATAATGGTAGCTGCAGTAGCTATAATCACCATCGAAATACTAAAAATACTTGTACTAGATAGCACTACTAAGAATTATAAGCCTGACAAACTGCTCACCGAATACCTTGCAGATAGGCCGCTTTCGAGAATATGGACCCTTCTAAAGATGATGCGTGTTTTTGGGGCGCAACAAGTCTACTTTAGCACCCAGTGTCTGAAGATGGAAAACATGAAACCAAGTCTGAAGCACCATCAACATGGAAGGATCACCACCACAGAATCCTACTACTAGTAGGGGCCCCCATAATTCTTCTACAATCCCGCTATACCCTTAGCCCCCCAATGGAGAAGCCATCAGCCCTGATCCCCAGACCCCAGACCCTACATGAGCTATAGTCTAAACTCCTAGTAGTCCCCTTGATAAACCCTATAGGAGATCCCGATATAATCCCGGATATAACCCCTTTAAGGAGTTTAGACTATGGCTCACGTTGACATATCCCTTGGACCGCTGCTCAAGAATCCTCAAGGCGCCCTTGGGGGGGGGTTGTTTAGGGTTTAGGGTTTAGGGTGTTTTCGGAAACACCCAGGCCATTTGAAACAAACCCGAAACCCTCTAGCGTAAGCCCTAAACCCTTCACCCTAACACTAAGGCCCAAACCGTATGAAAACCCTACCCTTCACCATAAAACCAAGACCCAAATCGTATGAAAACCCTAAACCCTCAACGCTTCACCGTGTCCCGCCTGGCTCAGAGACTCTTGGCTTCCTTCGCAGCACGGTCCTCCTGGACTCGCTTCAGCGCCTGACAGGCGGCACACGGGTGGTTGTCAAAATTATGGTCCCTTTGGGTACCCTAAATATAGGGATTATAGGGACTATATTGGGGTTCTATGGGGATAATGGAAAAGAACATGGAAACTACTATATTGAGGGTATATATACCCTATTAGTCCCTTTTTGGGTACCCTAAATATTAGGTGCCGTATTATAATAGGGACCCAAAAAGGGACCATAATTTTGACAACCACCCACATAATTACCAGCGAAAGCACCAACAGTCCTCAGAATAATAACAGGAGTATAAAGACACAGGCATAATAACAATAACAGTAGTTGTACTGGTAATCATAATAACAGTAACAGCTACCGTAAGTTTCAACAGTAACCGTACCTAATGCTAGCAAGAACCGCAAACAGGATGCATACAAAAGAAATGAACAATCTAGCAACAATCCGACTTGATGATTGTATGCAACTTACAACCAGAAACAACAATCGTATGCAATAACGATAAGAAGCATAGGAGGTAAATAGCATCTGCGATAAGTGTCTGCAAGGAAGCCTAGTCTTGCACAGGTTGTCAGTAGGGAATGGAGGAACAGATCGATGGGGGAGCAGTGACTCTGGAACTCTGTAAGAGCCCTGCAGACGTGTTTAGCGAATGCCTTCCCATAGCAACAGAGCGTGGCAAGGCCCTTACTTCGAAACGTCCATCTCACAAACTAAGCTCGGTTTCCAGCTTCTGAACATATGGGTTGTTCTTGAAATCATGGGCCCGTTTTGGTTATAGATTATATTGCGGCACCTAATATTTAGGGGTACCAAAATGGGACCCCAATTTTGGGAATTACCCCAAGCCCTAAGCCCTAAACCCTAAATAGTAGCTTCCATTTTCTTTTCCATTATCCCTAAATAACCCCCTATGTATCCCTATATACCCCTAGTTTGGCTACCCACAGGCCATGGAGGCTTAGGGCCAGGAGTGGTGGCAGCTGTGGCTTGGCCTTTGGCAGTCGGGGTATAGGATACGATTTATGAAACCTACGAATCACGGTGTGGCTGGAAGACGGTCATAGCTTCTGCTTCCTAATGTAGACCCATGATTAATAAACCCCCCTCCTATTAAGGGCTTGAATATTATAGGATCCCTATTATAATCCCTATTAAGAGGAGGGGGTTTATTAATCAGGGGTCTGGGTTAACAGTCTCCATGACAGTATTGTTGGCATACGAGCAGTGATTCACCGACTGCCGTCATGCTGGCAATGGAAATCGCTTTCACATAATTCGTTTGTCACTAGTGGACTAGGTCAGCGTGCATGGCATGCTAGAACGTTATGACCCCAGCCACACGCACCTCCATCATCTTGGTGGTGTACTCCTGGCGAGAGTACTTCTCCGCCTCCTCGACAGGCACGAGCTCGTCCATGTTGGGCTGGGGCAGCGCGAACAAGTTGGGAATGTCCGCGAAGGCCATCACACGGGCCTTGACGAACAGGGTGGTCA